TTTAGTTCCCTCTCCCTATTGCAACTTGGAAACTCTCTTGGGCAGTAAGCTGAAGCAATCATAGAGGTCACCTCTTTGGTTTCCTATCTCTAGAGATCACTGTCCTTCACTGGTTAATGTCTGGTATCTTGAACTACTGTTTCTTTTTTTTTATTTATTTTATTTTATTTATGATAGTCACAGAGAGAGAGAGAGGCAGAGACACAAGGCAGAGGGAGAAGCAGGCTCCATGCACCGGGAGCCCGACGTGGGATTCGATCCCGGGTCTCCAGGATCGCGCCCTGGGCCAAAGGCAGGCGCCAAACCGCTGCACCACCCAGGGATCCCTGAACTACTGTTTCATGTATTTTATCTGTTTATTCTTGGTTTGTTTCAGGTAGAAGGGTACATCTGGGCCCTGCTATTCCACTTTGGCTGGAAGCAGGAGTCCTCAAAGTGCCCTATCTAATTCAAAATGTCCCACTTATGGCTAAAGGGAGCCTGTTCAAGCTATCTCCTAAGTCTTTTCAACACAAGTTTCGACAGTCTTAAAACTCCTCGATCTACATTATGAAAAAATACTACACATTCACTTTGAATATTCCCTATCTCTAAAACAAGAATCAGGTGTTTCTTCTAAGAAGCCTATTTGTGTAAGAGAAAAATTCTCTAATGACCACAATCTCAGGGTGCTAGAGGTGCTCACTGATATAAGGTATTTCACTATCTCGAAGCCTTACTAGGACAAAACTGGGTTTTGTGTGTATATCTGTGTTTTATACATCATGAAATCCTACTAATATTGCCTATTCAAATTTATATAACTTCTTTGATTTTATACTTCTATCTCAACCTTAAAAATCCAGGTTCCTAATATTAACATAGTTATCTGGTGTATCCATATATAAATATATATAGTTTCAGGATCTATCCTATATGATCACTGAAGCAGTTCAAGATTTGTTTATACTTCTTTTTGTCCTTAAGACACAGCCCAATAGAGAAAATTAATCACTGTGCCATATATTAAGCTGTATTATTTTTTAAGATTTTACTTATTTATTCATGAGACACACAGAGGGGGGGGGGGGCAGAGACACAGGTAGAAGGAGAAGCAGGCTCCATGCAGGGAGCCTGATGTGGGACTTGGTCTCGGGTCTCCAGGATCAGGCCTTGGGCTGAAGGCAGCTCTAAACCGCTGAGCCACCGTGGGTGCCCAGCTGTATTTCCTGTGTGGTTTAGCCACAAGCATGACACACAGGACCATTTAATTCCTCTTATTTTTAAGGATTTCTTCCTTCATTAGGATTTCATTTTGTTTCACAATTACTTAAAGCATCTACATGACTCCAAAATCACACCTAATCACTAAAATAACATTTCTTGGTACTGCAAAATTTACATTCACATGTAGTCATTTTTAAAATGGAATGGGGGATCCCTGGGTGGCACAGCGGTTTGGCGTCTGCCTTTGGCCCAGGGCGCGATCCTGGAGACCCGGGATCGAATCCCACGTCGGACTCCCGGTGCATGGAGCCTGCTTCTCCCTCTGCCTGTATCTCTGCCTCTCTCTCTCTCTGTGTGTGTGACTATCATAAATAAATAAAAATTAAAAAAAAAATAAAAAAATAAATAAAATGGAATGGTAGGGTACTGTTATGATCTTTAATACAACTGATAAGTAGAATTTGAAATTAAATACATCATACCATTTACATCACAAGGATGATGACAAGGTAAGATATGAGAAATTCTCAGCAAAGGGAAGTCCCCTACGCCTACAGCTAAACATCAAGAACACAGGATAAACAATTCTGACTGGTGCAGGAAGACAGAAAATATAGTGTGGAGATCTCCAGTGGAAAAAAACATGGAACTGATAAATTATTTGTGAAGTTTAACCACGTAGAAAATCAGATAAAAATAATTTTAAAGCAGCTGTAGAAAAGAATGAAAAGACAGCCAGAAATCTGAAACCAAGCAAATTAAAAACAAAAACAAAAACAAAAAAAAACAGACAACTCCAGGAAAAACAAAGTATAAAGAAAGGAAATCACCATATACTATTCAGCTCAGCAATAAATAATACATACTGTAGTGTAACTGTATTAGGAGAATGGGCACAAGGGAAAAGCAGTATAAGAGCTTAAATATGTACTTACCATAACAGAACATCAAAAGGTGACATTTTAAATTATTAGTTAAGAGGATTGAAAATGGTTTACTTGGGAATGAGACCAGGAACACTGGTAGTTTAATTTCAAGTACTGTAGTGCTATTTAATTATTCCAATGGTGCATGTCTTACTCAGAGAAAGGTTTTAAAAAAGAAAAAACTGTCAAACAATCAAGATTTATATACCTTATCTACAGATTACATGTTGACTGAACTTGTCAACCAAGTTAATCAACGGGAAAAGTTGCCTGTCCACAAGTTTATCAACTTGCTCACTTCTCAAGATATTTCTTACAACTAAAAACATCAAGCAAACCTCCATTCTGCATCATGATGGGGCTTATGAACTTTTAAGCAGTACAAGGTAACCTATTCACATTGAATTAACAAAAGTCTACTTAATTCAAATTTACAAGGACTGGCTCAATCAGAATGACACCAACTAGTAAAACTTTTTGCCAAAAATGAGTTTTAGTTTGGTCTGTGTCAAGTGGACAGATGTCATTTATAAAGTGCTGCCTAGATATAACAAAAATTAAGTGTTTGTCTTCTAAAAAGATAGCCCTTAAAGATGCAGTTAGTATCTTCTGCACACTTGCCAACATCAACTCCTGTGCTACACTCACATCTAGTCAACCTGTGACTTTTCCTGATAGATGACAAAGCAACTGTGGAAAGATAAACAGTACCTAAATGAATCTGTATTTTACTGATATTTACTATTTTACAAATTAGGCATGAAGTAAGTACTGTTATGATATTAAGAAGCCTGATTGGCTTTACTAGTTTTGTCTATATAATAGAGCACATATGAAATTTAAAAATTAAGACTGTAAATAGAGGGCAGCCCGGTGGCTCAGCGGTTTAGCGCCGCCTTTGGCCCAGGGCCTGATCCTGGAGACCCAGGATCGAGTCCCACATCGAGCTCCCTACATGGAGCCTGCTTCTCCCTCTGCCTGTGTCTCTGCCTCTCTCTCTCTCTGTGTTTCTCATGAATATTTTTAAAAAAAGACGGTAAATAGAGCAATATTCCAAAAACTTATCACAGAAACTTACTAAAGCCAGGGGCATAATTTGAGATCTCCTACAATGAACCTCATAGGATTTCAACTACAAATATTTTTAGTCCAATATATGGGGCCATACTTGCCATTTGATATGTTAAGCATTCAGAGCATTCGTCTTCAGGCAGTTAATATGAAAAATTAATTTTATTTATATAAACTTTACAATGAAGTCTAATTACATGAAATCACCCATCACCAAGAGAGAATAAAATGAATACTGTCAATGGCAGAGCATCATTACTACATCTTCAAATGGCTTTATGCCAAATATGATGCATAAGCTGGTGGTTATATTGAGACCTATACTTGGGCTCATGTGTATATTTTTATGTATTCATATGGGAATATAAATATGTAACAATGCTATTATGATTTCTAAAATTTACCCCCAAAATAGAAGCTAATCCAAAGGAAAGGTTCCACTTCAAATAAGATGCAGAGATGAATAAAGAGATACAAGAAACCCAGAGAAACTCATCCTTTTATGAATAAATTGTAACTCATACTTAATTTACCACACTTTATAAAGTCTATTATAGGGGTGCCTAGGTGGCTCAGTTGGTAAAGCGTCTGCCTTTGGTTCAGGTCATGATCCCAGGGTCCTGGAATCGAGCCCACGTCAGGTTCCCTGCTCAGCGGGGAGTCTGCTTCTCCCTCTCTCTCTGCTGCTCTCTCACAGTCTCCCTCAAATAAATAAATAAAATCTTTAAGAAAAAAAATATATATATAAACTCTACTGTAAGACTAGACAGTAGAGTCTAGTCTTTGCCCAAAAAACTCTCTTTGCCCAAAAGATAATAGTAATAATGACTGTTTGATTCAAACATCTACAGCCCTAATAAAAAAACACTGAGGTTGTAATATACTCTTGGACTTTAACTGGATGTTCCAGTGCAATATTACTCAAAAGAACAGTGTTATTTTGAGACTAGCTCACTATAACTGCAAAACATTTATGACAGATTACCTTATTTCTAAGGTATGAAAGATTGTGATTCATTCATTTGCCTTTTATGGAGCTTTTGCAGCATGGGGGTCAAAAGGTCCTTCCAAGCTCAAAAGTCTCTAATTAGCAAAAAAAAAAGTTACCTGTCTTTAAATTTCTTTGCCTTTGAGATGTACCATTTATTCTAAGCATTTTCAGAAGGTAAAGTGAGAGTGAGTCCCAAATTCTCCTGTAAATATTCATTCTGTTAAAAAGGACCAATTTAAAAAAAAAAAAAAAAAGATCCAAACCAATGTCCTAATGAATCATACCAAATTAATTTAGGGGTTAGAAGACACATTCCTTGAGATTTTTGCTTTAAAATAGTACATAATAAAGAAACATAAAGATAGACATGAAGCAAGTATGGCAAATTACTAACAATTACTGAACGCAAAAGAGTTTATGAGGCTCACCTATTTTTTAATTTTGTATGTTTACAGGTTTTCAATTTAAAGATTATAACGAAAAGCAGTATTTTACTGGTCACTTGAGAATTCATTAACAAACATGCACATAAAATCTTAAGTTGCAACTTGAGAAAAAACATAAAATACCCTAAAAAATTGGCCAAAATAGTAAACAGTAGTTGTACTGGGAATATGAGAACCTGATTTGATTCTTATATTCCACTTTTCATTACTTCCTCTCCCCCACTCCCAAAACACGTTGATTTTATGACGGAAGGGCTATGTATTTACACACATAAATATGTAGCACTGTCAAAACTAAAATAGAGTGGTTTCAGACTTAAAACAGAAGTTCTTTAAAATAAATAAGAGTAAAGGATTTACCTGCTCTTCTCTTTTCTGCTTGCGTAACTGCAGTCCCTCTTCCTCCCTTCTTCTGCGCATCTCATCAGGATTCAGGGACTTATTTTTGTAACTTTTCAGGCGAAAGTTCTCTTTTCCTGGAGTAGTCATGATTTCTACAAAAATGAAAGAGAGGAAGAGAACAAATGAGCTTCGCTTATGGTAAAGAGTTCTGTTATGCTAATAGCTTAGCCTTACTACATAGAGACACCAGAAATAGCTACTTTTTTAAACACCTTTACTAAAGTGTACATGTCAACAGCTTTATGTATTTTCACAGCTACATGCAAATCATCACCAGTCAATTTTTTAATATTTTCATCACCTCAAAAAGATTCTGTTTGGCTATCACTTCTAATTAGAACAATTCATATGAAGAGAATCATATGTGTGATGACTGGCTTCTTAGCACATTTTCTTTTTTTTTTTTTTTCAAAGGAAAAAGGTTTAATATATAGATTGAAGATTCACATCATGATAAAGGATAAAGTTGAATACCTTCTTGTAATAAAAGTTCAACTTTTGCATCTTTTCCTACTTATACTGTTATCTTTTTTTTCCTGTGCTTTTCTATTGCTTTCACCCCACCTCTTCCTGTTTACATGGATTCTCTCCCTCTCCCCAGTAGTTTGGAAAGCCTACTCCTACAGAAGCTAACATGATTAACACTAATTTTAATACATCCTTTAACTTCACCAACATCTAAGTAGCATCTGTAAAGTTCTTTTCCCCTTCTCCCCAAAGTATACTGTTCACAACCCATCCTCCTGGTAGGATTGTGGCATTTTATTTTTGTTTTCCTTTTGACTTTTGCTGCGAGAGGAAAGTAATATATATATATATGTACTGTGTGTACAGGTTTATTATACTCATCCTAGATGGCTAAAGTATATCCTCCAGTAATTCTTTCAAAGAGGGTGTGCAAGAAACAAACTTTGTGAACTCTCCAGTATCAAAAAATGTCTTCATACTTAACATATTTTCAAAGTTCATCTATGTTGCAACATATATCAGTACTTTATTCCTTTTTATGGCTGAGTAATATCCCATCATATGGATATACCCCATTATATATCAACTCATCAAGTGATAGAGATTTGAGTTCTTTCTACTTTTTGGCTATTATGGGTAATGTTTCCATAAACATCTGTAGGCAAGTTTTTATTCAGACATGTGTTTTCATTTTTCTTTGGAATATACCTAGAAATCAAATTGCTAGGTCACAGGGTAACACTCTTTAATTGAGGAAATGCCGAATTATTTTTCCAAAGTGCTACACTATTTTACATTCCCACCAGCAGTGTATGAGGGTTGACAATTTCTCCACTATCACAATTTTTGGTGTCTGCTGTTCTTTCACATACTTATTTTCCAACTGTATATCCTCCATAAAAAAAAAAAGCCTATTCAGATTCTTTGCCCATTTTTAAATTCTTTACCGCTCTCACATGCTTTAAAAAAAAAAAGTCCCTTATCAGATATACGGTTTTTAAATATTTTCCTTCACTCTATAGGATTTTTTTTTTTTACTTTAAGATTTTTATTTATTCTTGAGAGACACACACACAGAGAGGCAAAGACACAGACACAGAGAGAAACACAAAAAGGCAGGCTCCAACAGGGAGCCTGATGTGGGACTTGATCCCAGGACTCCAAGATCATACCCTGGGCCAAAGGCAGGCACTTAACTGCTGAGCCACCCAGGCGCCCCTTCTTTTCACTTTCTTAATGGTGTTTTTTGAAGCACAAAAGTTTGTATTCTTAATCCTAAATTTCCTTCCTTTATCCTAAATTAAAGTTTTAGCTCTTACATTTAGGTCATCCTCTTTGAGTTAATTATTATTTATGGTATAAGGTAAGGGTCCAACTATATTATTTCACATATGGCTACCCATTTGTTCCAGGCACCATTTGTTGAAAAGACTATTCTTTTTCCACTGAATGGTCTTGACACCCTTGCTGAAAGACAAATTTTGTAGTTCCCAATGTTTTATATTTCTGTTAAATGTATTCCTATTTTAATTCTTTTGATGCTATTGTAAATGGAATTTTTTTCATTTCATTTTTGAATTGTTCATAACAAGTCTATAAAAGTGTTCAGTTTTCCCCATTAGGTATGATGTTATCTTTCAATTTTTTCATAGGTGCCTTTATTCATGTTAAGGAAGTTCCCTTCTATTCCTTGTTTTTTGAGTGTTTTTATCATTTAAAGTGTGATGGATTTTATCAAAAAATTTTTCTGTGTTTATTGTGAGAACAAATGTGGCTTTTGCTTTTTATTTCCTGATATATTAATTGGTTTGTGAATTTTACACTAATCTTGCATTTCTGGGATAAATGCCACTTGGTCATGGTGCAAAATTCTTTTTATATGCTGGTGAATTAGCTTTGCTAACAATTTGAGGATTTTTGTCTCCATCTTCATAAAACATAATGGTCTGTAGTTTTCTTGTGATGTCTTTGCTATCAGGATAATACTAATACTAGCTTCATAAAATAAGTTGGGAAGTGTTCCCCCTCTCAATTTCTAGGAAGAGTTAGCATTAATTTTTCTTTAAGTGTTTGACAGAATTCAGCAGTGAAGCCATACAGGCCTGGGCTTTTCTTTGTGGGTAGCTTTATGATTAATTCAATCTATTCACTTGCTATAAGTCTATTCAATTTGTCTATGTAAGTTAATTTCAGTATCTTTCTAAAAATCTGTCCAATTTAGGGACACCTGGTGGCTCAGTTGGTTGGGCATCTGACACTTGATTTTGGCTCAGGTCAAGATCTCGTGATCTTAGAATCTCATGAGATTGAATCCTGTTATCAGGCTCCACACTTACTGGGGAGTATGCTAGAGATTCTCTCTCCCCTTCTCCCACTGCTCCTCCCTCCATCTCATGTGTGCGCTAAAATAAATCTTTTTAAATGTCTATTTTATCTAAGCTATTTAACTTATTGGCATACAGTTCATAGTATTCCTTTATCATCCTTTCCATTTTGTAATCCCAGTAGTAATGTTCTCTGTTTTATTTCTGATTCTAGTAATTTAAGTCCTCTTTTTTTTCTATGTCAATCTGACTAAAGGTCTGCTAATTTTATTGATCTTTTCAAAGAACCAGTTTTTCATTGCTTCTTGATTTGAGATCTTTCTTCTTTTTAACAGCATTTATTACTAAAAGTTTCCCTATAAGCACTCTTTAACTATATCCCGTAAGTTTTCTTAGGTGGTAACTTCATTTTCATTTATCTCAAAGTATTTTCTGATGTCTCTTTCCATTTGTTTTTTGACCTCCTGGTTATTCAGAAGTATGTTAATTTCCATATATTTGTGAGTTTCCCAACTTTCTGTCAGTGATTTCTAATTTCTTTCCACTGTGTTCAGAGGACAACCTTTGTACTATTTCAATCCTTTTAAGATTTGTTTTGTGGCCTAGCATATGGCTTATCCTTGAAAATGTCCCACATTCACTTGAGAAGAATATATATTCTATTGTTGCTGGGTGGTGGTTTGCTCTACAGATACCTATTAGCACTAGTTGGTTTATAGTGTGGTTTCTTTGTTGATCTTATGCCTGGTTGTTTTATATGCATTACTAAAAGTGGGATATTGCAGTCACCCAACCATTATTGCTAAATTGTCTATTTTTCTCTTCATTTCTGTCAGGTTTTGTTTCTTGTATTTTGGTGCTATTAGATACATATATATTTATAATTTTTATCTTTCTAGTAGACGGACTCTTTCATCCCTCTATATTTCTAGTAACATTTTTTGTTTTAATATCTATTTTTTCTGATATTCGTGTAGCCACTCCTTTCTTTTGGTTGTTGTTTGCCTAATAGATCTTTTTCCATCCTTATACTTTCAATGTACTTGTATCTTTATTTTTTTTTCGTCATCATTATAGTATTATTATTTTTTTAAAAAGGCCTCATTTAAAGCGCGCTGCACGCAGGGCGCCCGGGGAGGGCCTCGATCCCGCGCCCAGGACCCGCCACGCGCCGGAGGCCGACGCCCAGCCCCTGAGCCACCCAGGCGCTGGCGGGGGCCGGCGCGTCTGCACAGGGAAGTACTTTACTCATCTCTCTGTGAGCAGCTCTTATCCTCGCAGGTATTATTTTCACTCAGGTATTATTTTCACTCCGAACTAGAGCCCTCCCCGTGCTTCACGGCGGGCTCAAGGGCAAACAAAGGCTGCTGTGGAGACGGTCCTGCCAAGGAAAACCGCAGCTTTCCGCTCCGCCCGCCCCGGCGCCGCTTCCGTGGGCCTCTGTACTTGTATCTTTAAACTTAAAGTAAACCTCTTATAGAGAGCATATAGTTGGATACCCTGACAATCTCTGCCTTATTATATATATACTTTAATCAATTCATGTTTAATGTTATTATTGATATATTTGATTTGTGACTTTTTTCATTTTCTATGTCTCATGTCCTTTTTTTATTCATTTATTACTCTTTGACTGCTATTTACTTTTTTGCATTAAGTGAATATTTTCTAATGAAGCACTTAAATTTAATGACCTTTTCACTGTATTTTTTTTTTTTTGGCATTTCCCCCTAGTGGCTGCTCAAGGACTTACCATACATATTTTAACTACAGACTTAAGAATAGCTTCAGACTTCTACTAGCTTAATAACTTCCAGGAAGATATAGAAATGTTACGCTTTATTGCCTTTTCCTCCATTTGATGATATTGACTGTGATACATATTCTATTTAATATTACAAATCCACCAACGCACCATATTGTAATTATGACTTTACCACCTATAGTCACTTCCTTAGCTTTGCCTCCATCACCTCCTATGTGCTGACAGATATATTACAAATAGGAATTTCTATACCTTACAGGCCCAAGAACACATTGTATTCATATTATTTTACACAACTGCCTTTAAAAAAAATAGATTGACTGATTTTAGAGAGAGCATGTGAGCACAAGTGGGAAGAGCAGATTCTGAGAGAATGTGAAGTGGACTCCGCACTGAGCTCAAGTCCAATACAGGGCTCCATCTCATGACCCTGTGATTGTGACCTAAGCATAACCGAGAATCAGACGCCTAATCAACCTCACCACCCATACACCCCACACACTGCTTTTTAAATCAGTTCTGACTAAAAAGGAAA